TATCACAAGCAAAATAATCTCATGAAACATCTTCAAGACATGCACATCTGTATGCAGGCCAAGACACAAATCTGAAGCAATGCAATCAACTTCAATTCTGCCTAGGTCAAGAAGAGAGTTCGGCAACAGACAGTAAGTCTTCAACTCATACAGTACACTCTGCACCCTGATAACAGGAAATTAAGAGTAAAGTGATGAACAGTGCAATAAAAGCCATAAAAGATAAATCAAGGAAAAACACGTGAAGCATCACAGAGCTCAGGGGACCAATTGTTAAGAAAACAAGACATATTCTCTTTTATTATCCAATTTTGTCCAGGGACTTTCTGTTGGAAAGCAAACTCTATTATTTATAATATACAGTACCTACAGTACTATTAACATCAGTCCGGGCAACACAATTACAAGTGGCCAGCGCTAAATACAGGTGTAAACAGACTCCAACACTTTTTTTGTCAGTCCTGTAGCTTAATTACTTCAATTTCTTGAATGGCAACTTGAAATTTCGGCGCTTTAGACCAAACATATTGAAAACTCTGATGTGACATGTCTACACACAGAATACCATTATTTATAATCTGTCCAACTGGTGCTGTAAACAATATGAAATTAGGGTAAATAACAACCCAATTTAAAACAATAAAAAAAGAAAAATGGGCCTTGAATTCTGTTTGTCCCAGATCTTGCAGAGACACATTATGAAGTTGTAGCTCGGTCTGTTCCACATTTGGCTACAGACAAACATGGATAAAGTTCAATATGACATCCAATGTGCACTCAGCAATTACAACCCCCAGGAAAAAGTAGATTGATTTCCTCTACCGGTTTGTCGAACTCTGGTTTAGTTCCTTACTTAACTGTGCAACAGCAGAGATTTGACACTTTCAGGCCAGAGTAGAACTGAATAATTCATTTTCTGAATAGTGGTTCAGTGCTGAACAGGCAAAAATCAGTTGATCACAAATGAAAGTAAAATGCTGCAGTGTCATATTTAAAGGGATAGTTCACCCAAAAATGAAAATTCTGTCATTAATTGCTCACCCTCATGTCGTTCCAAACCTGTAAGACCTCCGTTCATCTTCGGAACACAAATTAAGATATTTTTGATGGAATCTGAGAGCTCTCTGACCCTGCCATAGACGGCAAGGGTACTACCACGATCAACGTCCAGAAACGTAGCAAGGAGATCCACTGAATCCACTAAGCGCAAACACCGTATGTTGTTCTGTGTCAGCCGCACCACACGGATACCTTTTCTACGTTGTTTGTGCTTTGATTTGAACGAAAAAACAACGTATCCGTGAGAATTGTTGAATAAATTATTAATTTTTTCTTTGCGCACAAAAAGTTTTGTTGAACCCCTGATGTCACATGGATTATTTTACCGAACTCCTTGCTACGTTTCTGGACGTTGATCGTGGTAGTACCCTTGCTGTCTATGGGAGGGTCAGAGATGGAAGGGTCAGAGAGCTGTCAGAATGCATCAAAAAAATCTTAATTTGTGTTCCGAAGATGAACGGAGGTCTTACGGGTTTGGAACGATATGAGGGTGAGTAATTAATGACAGAATTTTCATTTTGGGTGAACTAACCCTTTAACCCTCTTTGGTCACATCTGACTGAAAAACGATAAAAAAAAGAGACTTGGTGACTTTTGTCATACACTGAAAAAAAGAAATGATTCATTGAATTAGCTAAAAAAAAATTAAGGTAAGTGGTTGCAATCAATTTATTTTAGCTACATTGAAATAAACAAATTTAGTTGACTAACTTTCATCATTTTTTTTTATTTAAATGTAGCTAAAATAAATAGTTTGCAACCACTTACCTTAAAAAACTTTAGTATCATTTTTTTTCAGTATATTAGCTATGTGAACACGCAAAAATAAATAAATAAATGCATAAAACATGCACCTGATTTGGACATGTTAAAGGATTGAAAAATAAAAAGTAACGCTTGGTACCGTCATGGTCAAAAATACACAGAAATCCGAAAAAAAAAAAAAATTTTAATTATGGAAAAAAGAAAAAAGATAATAAAATGTATAAAAAAATAAAAAAATTTAATTCCCCCCCAAAAAATTCTAAATAATAATAATAAGCAAAAAATATTATTGAACAAAAATATACTAGATTGATTTTCCTGAGGAAAAAGGTGTTACTTTTCAAGGCTGTGGTCACTTTTGACCATGAAGGTACCAAGTGTAACCCACAAATGAAGAGGCTCAGAAGACTGATTAGTGTTCAAAGTCTGAATTCTAAATACATATTAGATTTTAATTGACTGCATTAAATTAATTAAGTGGCCTTGATTAACTGAGTGTACCTGTGACTGAGACAAAACCTGACAAGTGTTTAAACATGACGTGAGACTACATGTAAATTTAAATTTTGTAAAAGTATGAAATGTAGATAACAGACAAATGTTATCAAGTATTATGACTGTTTTACATTCTTGTAAATATGCAGGTTTTAAATGGAAGCAATCTTAGATAAAAATGAAGAGTTCCCATTTGAAAATAGAGCACCTATGTTGAGTACATCACTGATCTAGTCATTGAAATGACATGTGCAAACATCAGACGTGTCCTAAAGACCGTAAATCTGGCGCTTTGTGTCCGATAACAAGTCACACAGCCTCTGATCAGAAGAGTTTCATCCCTCCCAGATACACAAACTAATTAATCTCACACCCCACTGATCAAATCAAAAATAACAGCCCGGAGCACTGAATCTATGACGAACATAATAGATTAACCCAACACAGCCTTGCAGCTAGTCAGTTATGTAAAAAAAATTATATACTAAATTGTAATCTACTAATCTATTATGGAAATTCTAATATTCCAGAACAATATTGAAATTCACAGGGAACATGCTCATGTAAGGCACTGACGAGTTTGTCCTCTTATGCAAACTAAAATTGCCCCCAGCTGTTTGAAGGTTCATGTCGGCTTCATTACTTCTCTGCGTTTCATCTTTGCTGGTTTGGTTTGGCGCTCCATTAAAGCATGAAAAAGATCTCTTTAAACAATAGTCTGAATAGAAAATGCATTTCCGAAATGACATATTAGCAGGAGTTTGATTAAATTACAGATGTGTTTTAGCACTTAAAGGGCACTAGGAAGAAGTGGAGGAAGAAGTAGCCAGAGAGGATGAACCATCTTACATTTCAGAAAAAAAATAAGTGATAAATCAATGTTCTCACAGAATCTGGGAATATGTGGATGGTTGGAGGCTATGAAGAAGGCCACTCACTATAGCAACTGCATCTCAGCGACAGAATGAAGAGAATCATAAAACACTCACTGTGCTGCAGACTGTAGCGAGTTATTAAACCTCGTTACAAGTCAAGCTCTACACAACCGCTCTCAAATTAGTTACAGACACACGCAAGACATTCAGACGCTCGTAAATGTGATAGGACCCACTTGCTTTTGCAGCTGAGAACTCTCTCCGTTTGGAAGTTCTGTTTGATGTGCAAAACTGACTCTTGAGAATATTTAACACCAATATTAGGGTCATGAGACACAAAGAGTCTAACTCCTTCTTTAGAGTCCCTGATGATAAAGGAATTTCTTCAACATGAGCACCGGAGATCATGCAAAGCAGAACTGCTGTCAAAACACCGATCCAGTTACAGCAACAAAGACTTATATTATGTCATTATGAATCAACGCATTTACATAACCACAACAGTGCATTTGAGTTATGGGTAGAGTTTCAGACAGTTCAAAGGACATGTAGTTTTCCTTTGAAACATAAGTTTACATATACAAACAACAGTGAAATATCTCTAAGCTCTGATATAGTTGGTGAGCAGTAACCCAGCCTATATGCCATACTTTAAAAAGAAATAATGTAATATGCTAGATCTAGAATGGGGACCCTGTTTGGAGCAACATTTTTCAAACAACATCATCTTTAAAATACTTTTAAAAAATGTAATCAGTTGATTCACCAAGCTTGTGAGTTTATCTGACACCATTATCCCCCTTAATATGATGATGTCAAATGTTATAGATGCAATACATGCAATACTGGGGCTGTTAGGTGATTACAGTATATGCGAATGTTTTGAAAATGCCATTATATACCAGTTCTTTGGAACTATATCTACAAAAATGGTTTCAAGACTTTGCAATAAGGGCCAATATGCTAACATTAGTTAAGTATAGTGAACATGAACTAACAATTAAAATACTTCTAAAGCAGAGTTTTTATTCTTAGTTTATGTTAATTACAACATATTAAAACCAAATGTATCTGTTAATAGTATTTAATGGACCCAAGCTGACATGAACAAACAATGAACAGTTGTACTTTTAATAACTAATATTAACAAAGATGAATAAATACTGTAACAAACGTAATGCTCATTGCTGGATAATATCGTAATAACTTACTACAGTACTAAATAACGTTAACTAATAGGATCTTATCGTAAAGTATTACCAAAAACTTCACTTAATTTACAGCAAAATGACATGACAAGGTCTAAAAAAGGTATTATTTGTATGTAATGTATTTAATGTATCAGTAAAAAAAAAAATACTATGGAATTATTTTTATTCCATTTGCTTTGTAAATCAAAAGTAATACAAATCTAACATGCTAGATGGATGTAACACATGTGGGTAGTTGACAGAACATGTCAGTTACAGCAGTGTCCTGCAGTGTGACTTGCGATACTCCATCTAAAACATTTTTTTTTGTAGGCTATAAATATTATGCATACAGTTGTAATAACTACAGTAAAGAAAAGGGTGGTAAAATGAAGAACGTATTACCATTTACAGCATCTAAAATATGTACCCTAGCTATTTTTTTATGCTTTTATGGTTTTATGCTGAACTGCGATTTTCTCTGCAAATCAAAAAACCAGACGCATAAGTTAACGGTGCAACATAGCAGACACATGAACTCCGCAGAGGCTGACTCCAATTCACTTTGCTCCTAAAACGTCTGGCGGCATGATAAACTTGTATATTGACGGCTTACCTGGCTGTAATGTCTTCCCAGCAGCGTTGAACGGAGCAGGGCAGAAACTACGGAATCACTTGCACCGCACGCACCCGTTCGCATTCAAATGCTCTGTGTGTCTCTTCTGTGGTAATCGATCGAAGAACGGAGCGCCTGGGGGCGCACACAGTGAACACGTCTGCGAATGATTGTCTGGATGATTATTTGCTCAGTGATCAGCGTGCTTTTCCATGCCTCACTGAGTTTTCCTATCCCAGTTATTCCCGATCACAGCTGCCGCAGAATCCGCACGCGCTGCCTTTTACATCGTCGCGCGCTCAGAGCGCACGCACAGCGCGGCCGCATAGTACCTGCTACTCGCCTCCTCTTCTTCACAGGCGGTGAATCAGGTCAGGGAGGAGGCGTCCTGTTTTTTTATAACGTTGTCAAGAGACCTGTCTGTGTCTTCTCTCCTCGCGTATCCGGCGCGTGTCTCACATCCCTGCGGTTCACAGCAACAGCAGCAGCCGCGCGTCAGATCGCGCTCCGCACAGCCCAACAGCACTGCCTAGAGTTCTGCACAGACACAGCACGACACAAATTATTAAATAAATAAACCGAGATGATATGAATAAACGCTCGAACAGTACATTCTGCTCTCTTTTGAAAGAACACTTTGGCACGAAATTAAAAATATTGTGTACAAATCATATTAAAAATACAAATCAGTGGCCTATAGAGGAGCCAGGAAGGCAATCTGTTTTTGGTCTGATATAAAAAAAAAAAAATCCATCACATTAATTTATGTAATAATCATTTTTAGACAAAGTTACGGTGCAGTGCTGCATTTTAGTACATCTAGACGGATGTACTGTTACTTCCTCTACAGTCAAAAATTTGGGTGTGACAGCAACTTGTCTTTTAAAAATCATATTTCCCATGTTACAAAAACAGCATTCTTCCATCTAAACACTGCCAAGCTACAGAACATGTTACCTGTTTCTGATGCAGAAAAGCTAGTTCATGCATTCATGACCTCTAGACTGGACTATTGTAATGCACTGCTAGCTGGTTGTCCTGCGTCTTCAATAAACAAGCTACAGGTGGTCCAAAATGCAGCGGCTAGAGTCCTTACCAGGTCAAGAAAATATGATCATATTACCCCAATCTTACAGTCTCTACACTGGCTACCTTTTAAGTTCCGTATCAGTTACAAAATATTACTACTTACTTTTAAGGTATTACTAAATATTACTATTTACCTTAATGGTTTAGCTCCTGCGTACCTAATCTATCACACTACAATCCATCCCGCTCCCTAAGGTCGCAAAACTCTGGACTTCTGATAGATAGCAAAGTCCACTAAAGGAGGTAGAGTTTTTTTCGCATTTGGCTCCCAAACTCTGGAATAGCCTTCCTGATAACGTTCGGGTTTCAGACACACTCTCTCTGTTTAAATCTAGATTAAAGACACATCTCTTTAGCCACGCATTCACATAAAGTATAGTGCTTCCCGATGCCATAGAAGAACCTTTTTGTCTAAATGTTTCCATAAAGAACCTTTAGCATCTGAAGACCCTTTCTGTTTCACAAAAGGTTCTTTGTGGCAAAAAAGGTTCTTCAGATTATAAAAAGGTAAGAAAGAGATGGTCCTTTAAAGAACCTTTGACTGAATGGTTCTTTGTGGAACCAAAAATGGTTCTTCTGTGGCATCGCTAACTCACCGAATAACCGAACATATTAACATGATGTTAAGTGAAGGAAGTGAATCCGGAAATGAATAAATTAACATTTTGTAGACCTATTTCCACAACCATTTATATATAAGACTGTATTTCAATATAAAACAGTCTATTTCAAAGCATGTTGACTTAATAAATGTTACACACACAAAAAAAAAAACTTTGGTAGTATGTTTATTTGATTCTCGTATTCTGTCAAGCTGTATATATTAAGGAGTTTAGGTTGGCATGAAACCAAAAGTTTGTCAGATAATAAAAAAATATTTATTTTGTCTGTTCACCCTCCATGTACCTTCTACTTAAAGGGTTAGTTCACCCAAAAATGAAAATTCTGTCATTAATTACTCACCCTCATGTCGTTTCAAACCCATGAACCTTCGTTCATCTTCAGAGCACAAATTAAGATATTTTTGATGGAATCTGAGAGCTGTCTGACCCTGCATAGTCAGCAACGCAACTGAAATGTTCCCAAGTCCAGAAACGTAGCAAGGAGATCGGTAAAATAATCCATGTGACATCAACAGTGTTGGGGGTAACGCATTACAAGTAACGCAAGTTACGTAATCAGATTACTTTTTTCAAGTAACTAATAAAGTAGCACATTACTTTTTAATTTTCAGAAGGAAATATCTGAGTTACTTTTTCAAATAAGTAACGCTAGTTACTTTGTTTCCCATGTCTTGACTGACAGCTCTCGTGTTGCCATGTTGAGCCTCAAAATAAATAAAAACAGTCAAATGCAAACTCAGAATATTATATAAACCTACAATAATTAAATATGTTAAATAAGACAAATATCATTTATGTATTTAATCCCATTTTATTAACCAATGTCTTTGCTACTGACCTTCGATGATCTAATTCAACCATACTAATTAGCAAAAATGACACATTCTTTCTTCTCCTGCATCACATTCTTCATGCAATTTGTTTGAGCTGCGCCCTCTACTGTACAGATGTGAATTTTCATTTGCTTCAGCCTGAGGCGTAATCATTTCACTTCTGTTGTGAAAAGGGCTTTTACATTTGTAAAAGAATAACTTTTTTATATTAAAAATAAGCAAGCAAGCCCTGCCTAGATTTAAAAAGTAACTCAAAAGTAACGTAACGCATTACTTTCCATAAAAAGTAACTAACGTAATTAGTAACTTTTTTTAGGGAGTAACGCAATATTGTAATGCATTACTTTTAAAAGTAACTTTCCCCAACACTG